CTAACAGTCCATAGAATACAACATCATCAAAAGTTCTCCAACTATTCAGATGATATTGGGTACATAAGGCTAAAAAAAGATGACCATTAAACAATTTTATTTTAATAAAACTAACTTTAAACTCTTATTGTTACTGTGTTTGTTTAAAAACATGTCACAATAAATTTTATCTACTCGTTTGATTTTTTCTCTTTCAGAAAATAAATTTTAAAACTATTGCAATTGTGATTTTAGAAAAATAATAATAATATCGTCCGTCTATAAAGTTAATTAAACTTTGCTTTATTCCTTTTTCATTTATGACTTCAAATGTTATTTTAAACAAAAAACAGAATTGAATTAAAATTGAACACATAGAATCAACAAAAGTAACAATAACAATAATAATAATAAATTGAACATTTGAATGAATGAATAAATAAGAAAAATAAAAATAACAATATTTCATTGGATACATTAGAAAAAACAAATCAAAATTAAAATGAATTAAAGCGGAATGTTGAACATTGAACATTGAAGCAGCTACATTTAAAAAATTTAGATCATTATAGAGAGAGAGTGTGTGTGTGTGTGTGTTTGTGTGAGGGAGAACACCAAAAACAAGCCATGAAAAGTATGTATATATATACATAGATGATCTTAACTGACAATTGTATCCCTGTGCTGATGGCAGAGTATTGCAACATGAACTTATGTACGTACAATGTAATTGACTGACTATATATGTTTCGTTTCTACGACTTTCAAGAATTTTCTATGCGTTTTTTTTCTAAAAGCCGCTTAACTTTTATCATCAATGAAGATTTCTTTTGTGGTGTATGTTTTATCATTTCGTCGTTCATAACGTTCGATTCTTTCGAAGATACAATTTTAGAGATGTGCATTATACGGTTAAATGTTTAAATCAATTGATTAATCAAGAGCAACTTAAAACTTCGTACGTACGTACGTACATCAGCATTCAAGTTTCCAGACCACATCAGCACACAGAGATGTAATTGTCGATTCAAATCCAATAGTAGTAGAGGTAGTAAAAGTATTAGAAGTAATCGGAGACAGAAGATACAAGTGTTTATTAACAGTTGTCTACGCAAAATACTTCGTATTCGTTGGCCAGACACCATCAGCAACAACGAACTGTGGGAGAGAGCAAGTCAGATTCCAGTGGAGGAGGAAATCAGGAAGAAGCGGTGGAAGTGGATAGGACACACACTACGAAAAGCACCTAACTGCGTCACAAGACAAGCCCTCACATGGAACCGTGAAGGCAAAAGGAAAAGAGGAAGGCCAAGGAACATATTACGCCGAGAAACAGAGAAAGATATGAGAGGAATGAACAAACATTGGACAGAACTGGAAAGGGAAGCCCAGGACAGAGTTGGTTGGAGAAAACTGGTGGGCGGCCTATGCTCCATTGTGGGTAACAGGCGTAAGTAAAGTAAGTAAGTAAGTAAGTAATCGGAGAGGTTAGCATTAGAAGATATTATTCAAGAAGTAGAATCTAGTGACATAAACTTAAAAAGATAAGGATAAATTGATGAAGAATTAAAAAGTTTAGAATTTGAGAGAACAAAAAGAATGAATGCACCTGCGACACTGCAAACAATTTTCAGCCATATCATTCAGTCTCTAACCATCGAATACTATCGTCTCGCAAACCCCAACCAAGTAGTCGACACCTACCAACATGACTCAGTCCAGTTGTCAGTGACTTAATGGATTTGTGCCGTGTTTTGGTCTGACCGCCCTTAGCTTTCTTCCAACCTACTCTTACACCACAAAACATCCCTTGACGAGGCAGTCGATGGTTAGGCATACGCAACACATGTCCCAACCACCTCAACTGATGAAGTTTGATTACTCCATCTATTGATCTGCCGTCCTTACCTAGACCCGTTTCCTACCAACAGCGTTGCTTACTCGGTCATCCCAGGATATACTAGCAATGCTTCGGATACACCTTTGGTCGAAAACCAGCAACCTACGAATATCTTCTACCCTCACTGGCCATGTTTCACAGACATAAAGTGAGACGGAGTAAACTATTGTGCAGTACACTCGTCCTTTAGTCAGCAAACGGATATCTCGCCTGCGCAATAAATTACCTAAATTGACAGAAGCCTTCTGTATCGGTACTGAGACTTCGTCAGTTACCAGACCATCAGCACTGATGGAACTTCCCAGATAAGTGAAGCGGTCTACACGTTCGACTACTTCACTCCATATCACCAGTTCAGCTGCCGATGCAACCCAGTCTTGAAGCAACATTTTGCATTTCGAGAGTGAGAAGTGCATCCGGAACAAGCTTGCATTATTGTTAAGCGTAGTCAGAAGACTCTGCATTTTGTCAGAATCTTCACCGAATAAGACTGCGTCATCGGCATATTCTAAGTCAATAAGCGAGCCTCCTGGTAGAAGGTCTACTTCCTCTGAAAATTCAGACGAAGATAATGTTATATCTAGCAGCATGTCTATGATAAAATTGAACAAGAATGGAGAGAGTGGACAACCCTGACGGACACCACTTGAAGTAAAGAATTCCGATGATAATTCGCTATAAGCTCTCACTCAACCTATAATGTTCGAGTAGAGAGCCTGTATAATGTTGATGTACTTCTTTTGGTACACCTTTCAATGATAGACACTTAATGCATAATTCAGGCTGAAATTTGAAAATGGGATGTTTATGAGAAAAAGACAATCTTTCGGTGGCATTCTGTACACTTATAAAGTTTTCATTGTCTTCGAATACTGTATCAATATCTAATTTATGTAAGAGGTAACCTTGAAATTTACTTCATCAAAGTTAAATCAGTTTATTTATTCTTCTGATGACTGCATTGATGATTGTTTGTCTGTGTAAACTTTACTGTCTGTACATATACGTCTGCCATTGTTCACAATCTTGTTCGGTTGACATGTGACGAGTCAACTGACTTGAATTCCGTATTTTCAGAAATAATCTAACATTTTTTTAGATTTCGTTGATCGAGAATGATGATGAATGCTTCTCAGAGAATAAAACATTATCATAATTTACTGAATACTGTGCGTGGAATCGGAACACTGATTAGCTTATATTTCCTCTGAGATGACTAGTAAGTTACAGATCTCTTGAAAGTTACTAAGAATTCAAGTGTATTCAGGTATGTTTTCATGACATTTTCACGGATTATATATATATATATATATATATATATATATATATATATATATATATATATATGCACATAAACCTCATTCTAAATGAAAAATCGTACAATCTGCTCTCACTAGTGACTAACATCTTGAGGAAATTCTCGGATTTCTAGTGAGAAAATGTGATCAGTGGAGTTCAACTCCATCAGGTGTAAGCAGGAACTATCGAAAATAATGGGTGAAGTCACAGAAAAATCCTCAGATTGATCAGTTAGACATTAGCACTGTTAGATACCGGCTCAATGGTGCAGAGGTTAGACGCTCACCGTACAAGACTCAAGGTCTTGGGTTCGAATTCTACGAAGTGCAGGAGTCGTGGATGCTCACTGCTGATGAGTCTCATATCAGGACGAAACGGCCGTCAATTGCTTCTAGGTTTCTAATCGTAATGGTTTAAATGTTGGGGATGTTAGATCCCCAAAACTCGCTTGTTAAACGCCTTATTTCGGATTTCACGTTTCCGAGCATGGGCTGATCAGTTGACCTTGAGATTTCATTTCCATGGCTGTGATTGGCTGCTGTGTATTTTAGTGTGCGATTTTCGTAACTGTCCCAATAACGTTTCGATGATGTATAAATAAACGAGAGTTGTTTGCTTGATTGTAATGTGATTGCTGGGTGTTTTTAGAATATACTTTCTACGCTTACAAAGTCTTCTATCTTCAGCTTGGGATTCAAGGTAGCCTATCTAGACGCTGGTTCATTGTCTCGTTTATCGCGTTCATCGACTAGCGTACCTAGTGACGAAGCCTACACTAACAATTCCTCATTCATCATTTCAAGGTAATGAATGTATCTGTTCATTCAAAGTTTGAAATACTGTACTCCTATTATTATCGCCTTATTTACAAGTTCTGTCCACAGTGGTTTAAAAAACATTCATTTGGTACACAACTCAAATAATAGATTACCACAATTTATTTCTCATCATAAAATATGATTATCCAAAAATTCAATCTAATTCAACAATATTATCATATAAACTATTCAAAACATTGGTTCCCTTTGATAAATTTGAACAGAGAAATGAGAAGACATATTTTGTGAGATAGTAGTACCATTTCGTGCTTTCTAGTCAGTCACATACATACAAGCAACATGTTATTTGTGTGAATACAGTTTTGAAGATAAGACTTTCAATGCAGCTAATCTGAGGCTTATCACAACAACTCAATCGATCTCAGTTACCCCAATCAAGTCTACAAGACCGATTTAGTCCAAATCCCACTGTATTTACACCAATTCACATGTAACTGCGGAGAAAGTTACTTAGGTAGGACAGATCGCCGATTGGAAGACAGGATAGGAGAACATATTCCAAAATGGTTAATCAAATCCATAATTCATCAACCTAGCCCATCATCTCAAGTTGGATCACGAAACCCAACCTCGTCCATTGCGAAACATCTAATGATGAGTGGTCATCAAATTGACCCAAAATCAGCCTTTAGAGAGTTGTGACATGTCATCGAAACCCACACGCACACACTGAAACTACTCGAAGCTATCTTGATTGGTCGGAAAAGTCCAACTTTATGTGCTTTCAAAAACAACTGTATGTTGATTGACCTTAGTTTACTTACCATGGTTCTAGTGAGTGAATGTCATGCTAAATAAGAAATTTTGACCTTATCTTCAAAACTGCTGTATTTACACACGGATAACATGTTGCTTGTATGTATGTGACTGATGGATGAGAAAGCACGAAATGGTACTTACTATCTCACAAAATATGTCTTCTCATTATGTCTGTTCAAATATAAACTATTATAATTAACATTTTAAAAACAACAATAACTTACAATAAAATGATAACCTTCAGGTTGATTTTCTCTATCCAATGGCATACGAGTAATGAGTTGACCTTTTTCATTAATTTCAAATGGATTTGGTCCTTGACCTGAAGGCCAATGAATAGAATAATTCAATTGACCATTTAATCCTAAATCAGGATCCATTGCTGTCAGTTCACCAATTAATAAACCAATATCATTTGTTTCAGATACCTAAATATTTGTTTGTTTATTTGTTTTAAATTAAATGAATTTAGACGAAAAAAATAAACAAACAATTAAAATATAAATCTTGTAATTTTTTTTAAAAAAAACAACGTAACAAGATTCAAAATTCAATTCTGTTTTTATATTTATTAGTTATTTTTTACACATTTGAAATCATCAATCAATCATAGTTAGACCAACACTATTAGAAACCTGGAAGCACTGGACGGCCGCTTCGTCCTGGTATGGGACTCATCAGAGGCAGTGCGTATCCACGACTCCTGCTCCTCGCAGGAATCGAACCCGGGACCTTTGGCATTGTAGGAGAACACCTTACCATCGGACCACTGTGCTGGCCGGCATCCAACGGTGTTATTGTCTAACTCTGATTGATCTAGGGATTTTACGCGACCTCACCCATTTGTCTTTGATTGTAGTTACTGCCTACACCCGACAGGGTTGAACTCCTCCATTGGTCACGTCTTCTCAACTAGAACTGCGAGATATTCCTCACGAAGCTAGTCAGTCACTAGTGAGCACTGTTACGATATTTTGAGGCACAGTTTTGGAGGTTTGTTTTGTTATAAAGACTGATTAAGATTTAATTTAGATGGTAAACAACAGACAAACATCATCAACACTTCCATATAATTAATAATCATGTCAGTTTAAACAAATTTGTGGTTATTCGAATTCAGTAGCTTAATAGTAGATAAAGTCTTTGAGTTTGAATTGATAAGAAATATAGATACAAGTCCCAGATTGGACATCAAAATTTAATATTAGGCAGACGTTAGAAAAAAATTTCTCACTTTGGACTCTACTCTTAATCACAATTTAAATATATGGATAGATGTAGGTGATATCTAAATATACTTACCTACTTACTTACTTACTTACTTACTTACTTACTTACTTACTTACTTGCTTACTTACTTACGCAGCATAGGCCGCCGACCAGTATTCTACAACCTATTCTGTCCCAAGCCTCTCTTTCCAGTTCTAATCAATTTTTTGTTCAGTCTTCTCGTATCTGCCTCTGTTTCTCGAAATAATGTGTTCTTTGATCTTCCTCTGCTCCTGTGGACTTGAGGATTTCAAATGAGGGCTTGTCTTGTGACGTAGTTAGGTGCTTTTCGTAGTGTGTGTCCTATCCACCTCCAGTGCTTCTTCTTGATTTCTTCCTCCACTGGAATCTGGTTTGTTCTCTCCCACAGTAGGTTGTTACTAATGGTGTCTGGCCAACAAATCCGAAGTATTTTGAGAAGACAACTGTTAATAAATATTCTTGTATCTTCTGGATGATGGCTTTCGTAGTTCTCCAAGTTTCCGTTCCATACAGTAGAACTGTCTTGACATTTGCACTGAAAATCCTGATTCTGGTTTTGGTTAAAAGTTGTTTGGAGTTCCAGATATTTTTCAACTGTTGAAATTCAGCACTTATTTAGCCAGTCCACGCCCTCACATGTGCATCCGATCCACTTTTCTCGTCGAAGATGCTGCCAAGATATGTAAAGGTGGTAACGTCCTCCAAGGCATCTCCATCAAGAGTCATTTGGTTGGCAAATGTTGTGTTGCATCGTAGATTCTTACTTTTCCCTTTATGTATGTTGAGACCTACTGTTGCTGAGGCTGCTGCTACACTGGTTGTCTTCTCTTGAATTTGTTGTTGAGTGTGCGATAGAACAGCCTGGTCATCTGCGAAGTCCAGATCGTCCATCTGCGTCCTAACTGCCCAGTTGATACCGTGCTTCCCTCCAGATGTTGACGTTTTCATAATCCAGTCGACCACTAGGAGAAAGAGAAAGTCTGAGAGTAAGAAACCTTGTCTGACACTGGTCTTCACCTCGAAAGAGTCTGTTAGCTGTCCATCGTGTACGATTGTGCAGCTGAATCCATCATAAGAATTCCGTATGATGTTAACTATCTTCTCAGGCACAATGTAGTGTCAAAGAAGCCTCCAATGATCAGGAATTTTATAATCGAATTCCAGTACTTCCTGATTTTGATATAAAACACTGTCAATAATCTTAACTACTTCCATAAACCTACCCAACCACGCTCTCCTACCCCAAAAAAAATCAACTTTTGTCTCAATCATTCTGAATTTCCTGTTCAAATTCAATGTGAGCGGTAATTTATTGCATATATATATATATATATATATGTAAATTCCATGATTAACTAATTTGAACGACCAATTTTGAGTTTGCTTATTTATTTTATTTATTCAATTTAAACACAAATGTTTATTTTTTCAAAAATCAAAATTCAGTATTTGTACCGATTATATAATATATTAGCGCGAATTGACAAAAAAAAATACTTTTTTCTCAACTTTGCAACAATACAAAAGAAATTTTCAAGACACGCACACACACACACACAGGAGGGCAAAAAAACTGAATGTTAAAAAAAAATCATTTTAAAAATTATACATTTGACAATTTAAAAATTTATTTTTTTCTTTTGACATTGTGACTAGTTTGGAAGATCTTAATTTGTCACGCGAATAAAATTCTTCCTGTTTTAATTTTTTTTTCTTAAACAAAATATATATCATTGAATTAAGATTTAAAGGTTTTTATAGATGAAGACTAGTCAGTTAGTCAGTCAGATGCAACGTAGAACTTCGTACGTAAGTACATCAGTTCATGTCACCATACATTTCGTTCCGTACGTTAAATTCTCTAACATGTAGACTAGAACGAGGTTTCAAGAGACCAGGAATGACGTTTCGTGAACTCGCATCGTTTGCATTAGCGGTGCAGTCAGATAAGGGAATGTAAGTAGAGTTATTTGTGGAGAGAAGAGAGGTATGTGTGGGTGTAGGAAGGATTTGATTTCGACCAGATTGGTCTCTCGTGCTGTTATGGGCATGAGGGCGGTCGTCACTTCCCGGCTGCTCACACCGTGGAAGGTTGTTCCTTTAGGGACCTGAAAAGGAAAATAGATTAGTGTTGGTGTTGGAGACCTGGGTGCTTGACCGCAGAGCCCAAGGGACAACTGCTTGAGGCCGGTCACGCACGGCCTTTTTATAAAAGGTTTTTTGAGGATTAGCTCCGTTCTTAAAGGCCCTTAGTGGGCACCCTTACCCAAGGAGAAGGAAATCCATGAGGTAGGGTGAGGTGTGACATTTTTAGGGTCGACCTTTTCCAACCCTTCCTTCCTTGTGAGAAGGCAGCATCTCTGAAGATGCTGGTTGTCCGAGGGAAACACCTTACTGCTGTCACACCCCGCTGCAGTCAGCAGTACGACTTCGCTCTTAGACGTTGGGTATCTGCTTTTAGTCTCATCGTTCTCCAATCGACCAGCCTGGCATGGTAGGACCTGCAGGAACATATGTTCCAGCCAGTATAGCTCGGTTGGATCATCACGATAGGCAAGCCCGACTACTACGTCAAGGTAGCAGCTACAGTCGGGAGATAAGGACTAGTAGACTATTTTAAATAAGAATAGAACATACATGTTTCAATACATATATATATATATATATATATAATCTGTTAGTTAACACTGATGAGTTCCCAAACTAGGAATAAATGGCCATTCTGTGTTAGGATGGATGAAGTGGCTAAAAATCCCTAGATTGATTAGAGTTAGACATTTACATCGATGGATGCAGGCCCAGTACTGCAGAGGTTAGGCGTTCGCGCACAATAGTGAAGGTCCTGGGTTCGAATCCTGAGACATTCAGTAGACGTGTATGCTGAATAGACCCACACCAGGACGAAATGGCCGGCCAGTGCTTGCAGGTTTCTAATGGTGGTGGTCTAACAATGTTTAAGTGATGGTTTCAATGTGTAAAAGTATTATTTTTGTCATATTATATTTTGAGTATTTCGATGTCATTCTGTAGTGAAAGAAAACACAGGTGGGGCAACCGAATTGTATTTACAGAGTTACTCAATGAAATCGGAAAACAATATCGTAAATTGTTCATTTGCTAAATAACAGTTCATCATATCGAACTGGACTGTTCCTGTTGCAAATCCAAATCAATCCATTGTCACTCACTATTCATGCGTTTCATACAAATTCCATTGTGTTCCCACTCTTCTTCCTTTCTTGATCTTCCACCCCATCTTCTGCTGCCAGACATTACGTTGACTCACACTCACGTCATATACTACTTATAAGTAGCTCACACCACAATTCGACTATGCGTGTAATGATTATTTTAGAAATTACAAATTTTTACAAAATACTTGTTTAGTATTTTTTTTCAACTTTATGTTATTTTATGATAAAAATTATTTCTGAAATCTGACTTATACATCAATGATCAATGATCATTGTAAATAAACGAGAGAAAATTAATGTACTATAGAAAGTATAAGAAATGGTAAGAAATTGACGTATTACCCTAGGACATGTCAGTCAGATGCAACGTAGAACTTCGTACGTAAGTACATCAGTTCATGTTGCCATACCACATTAGCACAGAGATGTAATTGTCAATTCAAATCCAATAGTAGTAGTAGAGGTAGTAAAGGTATTAGATATAATCGAAGAGGTTAGGATTACAAGATATTATTCAAGAAGTATAATTCAGTGAGATAAGTTTAGAAAGACAAAACTAGAGGTGTTGAAGAATCCAGAAGATTAGGATTTGAGAAAACACATGGAAGAGTGGCTCGACGCAAGTCGAATTAATCCCTAAAGTGTTCTGACCATCGATCCAGTCTCATGGATTGAGCATAAATGATACAGCCATCCTTTTCCGAGATAGTTTCACTCACATTCGGGTTCCTAATACCGGTTCCCTTGATGAGTCTGAATACTTGCCTATTGTTGCCTATCGCCGCTGCCTTTTCCATCTCTTTCTCGCTTTCTCCACCCAACACTTTTCTCGATCATTGCGTAGGCTTTTTATCAGCCTTCGTCTAAGTTGACTCCGCACTCAGAGCCAGGCGAGATGAGTTTTCGAGCATCCATCAGTTTGGTAGATGCTACGGAGATCCACGGCTTCATTCTAGCCTCATGATTTACCTTACTAGCAGATA